ACTGTTCAGAGGGTGAATGCCTTGGTCATCAATAGCATGATCGAGAAAATCTGGTTAGTCAGTTTCGATCTGAAATTTAGGAATGTTTACAGTTGCGAGGATGGTCCACGCGTGAACTCGAGTAAGCTTCAAGAAGCTCAGAAAGAGTCGAAGGGATTCCATCCAATCATCTTTCGGAAGAATATCCCAGAATCCCTGGAAGTAGCTTCCCTGTTGGACAAGTGCTAATACCCCCTGTATGCTAACTGAATGACCATAATGCTGATTTCATTTTTACTAAAAACTATAAATGCCTGACAAATTTGTACTATACTTGACACTATATGGAATAGTATTCATTTCAATTGTCTTCCGTCTTCTCGTTTGCAACTTGGCAGGGTTCTAGCGTTCAAGTGCCCAATTTATGCGCACTTCTAGATACAACAACAGTAATATCGTGTTTTTGCAGTTGTTTGAAGACATGGTCTAGACGCTGGGGATGAGATTCTCTGTCCGAACTTGCAATCAAGGAAGCATTTGTTAAGACGAAAAGCATATGCGAAAATCTGTGGTCTAAAGAGGTGTTGATAGTGGTCTTAGTAATGTCACCAGCTGTAGGATGCAAACCACGTTTGGACTGCTGGACAGCTGTCTGGATAAGTTCGATACGCTCCCTCGCCCGTTTGAAACCAAAACAAGGTAATTGGGTAAGATAGCGGTTCTATAATTTATCATAAATTTAAGTATACATTATTACCTAAACAAATATAACCACACAGCTATCCAACCAATAATTGTTTAATTGATCAAATCTAAACTACAATAAATAAGAAAGTTGATAAAGAATGCAAGAAAATTACCAATCACCACAAATAAATGTTATTCTATCCTGTCTGGATAGATCACGTACAAATTCGTTCAAAAGGTAACAATTGGTCGCTCTATAACACAGAGTGTTTTCAATCCTGGAAGAGTGCTTCAATTCACAACCAAAATGCACAATTCCAGTCAACACAGGTCAAGCAATCAAAAGCAGGAACCAACCAAAATGGCTGCCGCTCAGACTTAGTATAAAGTAAAACAACATAAGTGCAGTTCGGGAAGAAACATGGGGAATTAGTGAAGGTTTGGTAAAAACAAAAACTATAATAAAATACAAAGATTAACAATTCAAATGTAGTCCAAAAGTTAACAATGTACAACTAAGAAGATCAATAGGAACAAAGTGAAAGTATATACATGGAGGGATTTTCACAAACACACAAGGCATTCAAAAAGGATCTTACACCAGCAGCCATGGGAATTTGTCTATACGCTTTTCGAAAAATAAACAGTTATACCTTTCAAAGTAGCTCTCGGATCGTGAATGTGAGACAACGGGTAACGATCAGGAATGGTTTTCGCATGTAATCGCCGATAGTCACCAGCTGGACGCGGATCATTGCTGTCATTTTTTGGGACCATGTACAGGGGGGATGCCCATGAGTTGTCCGACTGCCGAATGACTCCTAAGTCACGGGCATAAATTCCTTTCGGGCCGACCTTAGAACCATCAAGGATATGGGTGATCATGTAGTCGTGATGTAATGTGCAAAATTGCTGCTTACATATGACAATTTCGGTTACCTTTGTTATATCTCAGGGTACTTATCGAGTGTTTTCTTGTAGTATTGATCTATTCTGTCCCTTACCGTAACTAGGGATAATCTACAACCGGAATAAGTTTCACAAACAGATGATTCAGTGTTTCTATTTGCTAACTTGCATATCGATGAGTAAATTATGATGTTGTTGCAGGTTTATACCAATGACTAGCATAGAAACATCTGCAACAACGAAAATCCAGTTGACGGGTTTGTGTAAACCCACGTTAATGTACATTATATAACTCATCATATATGGCAGTCGGTTTCCCATTTACCGCCTGTAAGTTGAAACCTTCGTCGTGCAGTTGTTCGTTAGAATTTGCAAGACTTCTGCGCCAGTTTCAGTGAAGTAGCGAACGTTCTTTTTCACACCGTTAACGCATAATAAACGAATACGCTTGCCGGCTATGGTTGTCGTTAATGCGTGTCGACTGGGAAGTCTCATGAAACGTTGTTCAAGTTGGATGGTTTGGAGCTCGGAACACTGCAGGGTTTTCTACATTTTCGAGAGGATTTCCCGTATTCATCATAGTCCCAGAAATAATCGTGGTTACCGCTCTCTCGTGATCTAGGGACAGATCGTGTTCGTGAAGAACTCTGAGGCTTTTGGGGGCGTCCATGGTCGTGACGAATACTAAAGTAACGTTTCAGAGTGTAACGGAGTTCTGTGACATCATTTCGTATCATTTAAGGCTTTTATTTAGCTGAATAGATTTCGGTGTTGGGATTTCCGGTGCGCTCCAGAATCTGGTTGGCAGATGCTTCCAGTTCGTCTATAGAGTTGTTTTGAATTGAGTCAAGAACCTCCTGCACCTTGTAAGGAAGCTTAGACAAGAAGATCTGTCTAAACAACCCCTCGTCAAATGTCCGTTGACCAATGATTTCATGCATTCGTAGAAACGTGTATGTTGCTGAATAATGTTGTAGACCGATGTTGCTGTAGAGTTGACCTAACCTTTGCCGGTCGGTCAGATCTCTGCGTTTAAGAATAGCCATTTTTAAAGTCTGGGAAGATTCCGGAGCATCACTGGTAAACATACTAGGTGGGACGTACCCGTCTAAATCGCGTCATGGTGCTTTCTTTACTGTCAGCTACTGAGCAGCAGAACTGTAGAATTGTGGCCTACTTCGTTATTAGTACTGCTCTAATAATAGACCTAATCCTAAAATTGTAGATTTGTCATGAAATAACTGCCTAATCTATAAGATCTTACGTGGAAGTCATATCATTGTCTACACTAACTCATCGTATCTAACAATCACCAATATATGATGGAGAACAAATTGGGACTGAAGACAGAACAATAATTTTAATACGAATAAAAGTGATAAGTTACACAAGGGTGACCATGCCTGCAAAGCTGATTCATGCCACCCAATTGAATTCTATTGAAAGTTCCTACGTTCTCCATTGTTAACCGTCTCTTTGTGTCAATTGTTGAACATAAGTCTTTTCGAAAATTATATTCTCGGCTTCAAAGATCGTGTGGTTACAGCCCAGTCCCACTATGGAACCAGCTCCGCGATCACTACGACTATTATTAGCTTACTTGTTTCGCCCATAATATGTGTAATGAATATAAAATAAATGTGACCTTCTGTAACCAAAATCACACTTTCAATACCCGGATACATATTCCATGGAACAAACAATTTGGTGATTTTTTAACGAACGTTTGAATTTCAAGTGTACAAGGTTATAGTAACCGCCTGCTTCAAAAGTTTTTGTTCAGAAGCGTTGTCTGGGCTTGCCGTAAAATCGTGTCGGTTAGGGTTTTATGGTTTCTCAACATGATCTTCTAACGACCAGTTAACTTTATACAGACGCAGACGTCCACCTCTAAGTGTTTCTATTTGGTAAGTAAGCAAAGGGAACGGGGTGAGCTATATCAATTGATTAAAGTTGATCATGCGTACGTTAGCGGCAGATCTCGATTGTACATACAATTATTATAACCTTTATCGGTTGCTTCGCATGTGGTGTATGCAACAAAGCAGCTTTTGGATCATTATAAGGCATTTTATTTTCTGGAAACTACTTTATTTCGAAACATGTAGTATCCTCAGATTAAAATGTGATTGTGAAGTATTTCTTGTAGGTAGATGTCGTTAGGCATTATGTAGAGCTCTTCGTTTATTGTCAACCGTTATCTAAACAGGATGTCTAACTTCCGATGGTAAATAATTTGGATGTATGACTTTAAGATATATGTCTCTATAGGTTAATCTGCGGTGTTTTTCAGTCAAAATTTGCAATTGTAATATCACAGATCTTAGTGTCAAAGATTGACTTGTCTGGGGTTGGATGCCATGATACGTGTCTTTTAATAACATTCGTTCCATTTCTGTTTGTGACTGATCCTTTCTACATGCTCTTCTGATCCCTATAAGAGGCTGTTCATGTTCGCCTTCTTACACGAAAAGTATTATTGCCCTGCCACAAGCATATCGACTTAAGCACAGTCATATATCCCGATGCATATCATACGCTTCAGAAGTTACCATCACATTTCGGAATTTATAAAGATTATAACTGCGAAGTAAATGTAGTGGCGTTACTGCAGTGTTTGCAGTTACCTAATTCCGTCTGATTATACTTATAGAAATAATCATACAAAGCAGTGACTGCAGTGTTAACTTTTGGAGTGACTTGGAATTGACTCAAACTTAATGCAGTCAGGAAGAAGTGAATCATTTAGCGAAAAAAACACTGAAATCCTCGCTTGGTGGTTTCATGTCTTTTTGTAGCTGTTCCTAGCTTCCTTGATCACTCCTACACCAGCATAAGTGATACCAAGGTTCTGTATAGTGTGTTTTGGTGCAGTAGCAGTTTCATGACCCCGAAATGGCGTTATAATATTTGTACATTCAAACAGAAATAGAAATCTAACCAGTGTTGTAGATTGTATTTTACTTGAAGATTATTTCACAACTTAGGGAACATTGCTTTCTCTTTGTTATCTTAAAAAATCTTGTAAAAGGTGGAATTTTGTGGTCCTGGTGTACCATAAAAGTAATCAACTACTGTAGATATTGATTCAGTCGGTTAAACTACTAGTGAACTGAACTATTAGAGTGTATTGTAGTCAATTCACATGTACTGGTTAGTTTTGTAAACACCTGGGTGGACGTAGGTTCGTAAAACCAAAAGCAGTTATTTACCAGATTGTTTTCATAGAAAATTTTGCCGCGTTTTTGGTTGCTTCACCTATCTTGTTCTAGAGGGAAGCTTCAGCCAACACACTTGAGATTAAATTTCACTGTTTTGGCCAAACAAACCTATTTACCATATATGTATTGTAGTTTCAGTTTTTACGATCAATAAAGTATGCTTCCTTCCTTGCTATCTTTTTATTTGTCCGAAGGTCAGGTGTTATGGCCACCACTACTACTGCTCCGAATGTTACCTACATTTCTATGATTGGCTTTTGGATTATGATTTTGTCTTCGAGTGTGTGCGGAACTTTTGGTAAGTTAGTGTATTATTTATTTATCTAAACACAAACACTGGTATGAAGAGAAACCAAATGTATGTGCGCCACACTTCGTCAAACGATTTGTGTGAGGTCTGGAATACTGATGTTGCGCCCAAATCTAAGCAAATGGTTTTCTTAGAAAGCTACTCTCCTGTTAGGGTATTTTATTTTATTTTTCCCTGAAAATCGAGTCAGGACGTCTGTATTAGGTAGTTTTAGTCGGATTTGTGGTGTTAATTATAGTCGTAATTAGTAAATTTCATCGCAACAAAACTAAATTTGTTCTATTTACCAAAGTAGTAAATTATCTGGATGTTAGATAACCCTTGGATATTATTTGGTTCCAATAAGTTTTATGTTGTGTAACAGTAATATTTATTGAATTTTATGCCTTCGTACTTAGAAAAGGGATTCGTTTAATCAGACTGGATGGTATAAATTATGATTATACGGATAGTCGTTCTGTCTTTCTAAGCATTGTTAGCTCTACGAACTCCAAGTGAATTAAATAAGTTAGTAGGTTCAAACTATATTGTGTCATTTAGTCCTTTCAGTTGGTCATCATTTTTTTACTTATTTCGGTTGCTTACTTTTCAATACATAAACTGCGACTTGTTCATTTTCATATTAAAATATCACAATCAAACTATCATTAAACTAATCGTCTAATTTATTTCAAAATAGTTTTCGTCAGTAACTAACATGAATGAAACCAGCGGTTTAAATTAAACTCATAATAAACCAAAGCTATTTGTCATACTAGATGCCAATGGTAATTACATTGAGGAGTATAAATGATCTTTTCCCTCTTCAAGTTAAATGAATAAGAAAGCAAAAAAATTGTTGGTATTCAACTAACCAACAAGAATATAGACTTTGTCATACTCCAAAAGGGAAGATATTATTTATATTACACACTAACCACATAATTACTTAACCGAGTGAAAAATACATCAAGGTTGTAGGTGATTTATGTGAATAATTCAATAAGGTGATGATTATAAATTAATTATCTGTCAAACAAGTTTCATCTATATGATTTTGAACTAAAATTTAGAGCTAGCAAAAATATCCAACTGTTCAACACGGAAGTAGATAAAACTGGATTCCCATATGCTAGTTACTGGTTAAAAGTCGTATTGTGATCACTGAACCGTCACTTAATTAAAATGTTGGTATTAGTTGATGCTACCAGTGTCTGTTAATATCAACTAACTTTTACTAAACCTTAACCATTTCATCTAATTTCGGCTTATTTTTAGGGTATCACTGTCCTCTCTAAGATCGCTTAACATTTTGTAGTTTATTGTTCATAATTTCAATTTATCGCTACAAGTATTCATTCGTAATCTGAAGACGTATTAATTTTAGTTTTTCATTGTCTTTCACAGCCGACCTTATTTTATCGTATCTTCATATCGAAAACTTAGTTTCCTTTTATTAAATTAACTGCTGGACTATTTCCTATTCAAACTTAGTAGCTAGGTACAAATTTATATACTCGGCTTCGGGTTACTTTTTGGATTGAGGACTATTGATACTACTTAGTTACCCATCTAAAATTAGTTTAAATTCGAGACCTGAATAGTAGCCAAATGTTTTATGTACCGATGAAACTGCTTCAGAATATTAAGTAGTAATTAGTCATTTTTCCATCGTGACAGTTATACAACAGGGTGTTAGGCAAAACTATATCGTGAAATAGCTCTTTATGGTATATTAATAAACTTTAAAATACTAGAAATTCCTATATTGTGAATTAGAACAACATATCTAAGCAAACATTATTCCTTCAGTTAGATCCTTATCAGGGTTTACTCTAATATTCAGCAATATTTATATACATGTCCGAAAATATTAATTTAATCAAGGAGGTTTATGGGTCAGTGACAACAGTAGAATAGATTACGTAAATAAATAAGTAAAAATTACAAGTTAATAGTGATGACTGTTGTAGTAGTTTTGATAAGAATAGTAAAAGCTTGAATCAATATTTCATAATAGGAAGTAGATCAGGGACTTAAAATTGTAGACGCTGAAATAGAATACTTGGAAATGATCAAAATCGCGTAATTAGAATTGTTCAAATAATTAGGCGGTAAAGCGTATGTTTAAAAAGTGGGTGAAGGAAAATAGATGGTTAAAGAGCACAGAAAATCGTTCGTTAAGGCCAATTCGACCAATGAACATAAAACATTGGATTGTTTTCTCGAATCCCTATAGCTTCTGTCATATACAAGAGACAAAATCTAATTAAAAATAATTTTTTGCTTATATATGTTCTGATTCATCATGTTAACAAACTATTGATTGTCTTTAAAGAAGTCATTATTTAAATCCGTAAGTTCTAAGAGTCTTTGTGTTGAATCTCTAGAACAACTGTTAATAAATAATTCTGAAAGAAATTCCATACCCTAGTTTAACTGTTATTTTCCACAATGTCCGGCTATTTTTCCTCCAGTAAATATAGACCTACAACGAGACTAGTCTGAAATTTATTTGTAGAATTGTATATTCATATAACCTCAATTTACCGACATATCTCTCCCCCACAGTAAAGTGTAGAAGGTCATCAAATTCAACACGGGGAACACCAACCTAATCACACTTGATGAAAAAACTCTGGAACAGGTGGAAACGTTCACGTACCTGGGAAGCATCATCAATGAACAAGGAGGATCAAATGCAGACGTAAAGGCGAGGATTGGCAAAGCAAGGGCCGCGTTCCCACAGTTGGAGAACGTATAGAACTCAAAACAACTTTCAACCAATATCAAAGTGAGAATCTTCAATACGAACGTCAAGGCAGTTCTACTGTACGGAACTGGAACTTGGAAAACTTCCACAACCATCATCAGGAAGGTACAAGTATTTATAAATGGTTGTCTACGCAAGATACTTAACCTCCATTGGCTGGATATCATCTGTAGCAACCTACTGTGGGAGAAAAAAAATCAGCTTCCATCTGAAGAGGAAATTAGGAAAGTACTCTGGGAGTGGATAGGACATACACTACGGAAATCACCAAACTGCATCACGAGGCAAGCGCTAACTTGGAATCGTAAAGGGGAACGGAAAGGAGGAAGGCCGAAGAACACACTGCTGAAAATTGGAAGCACATATGAAAAGGATGAATAGCAACTGGAAAAAATTGCTTAAGCCAGAGTTGGATGGAGAACGCTCCTCCACAAGGGGTAACAGGTGTAAGTAAGCACAGTAAGGTGTAGGGTCCTCTCGTAATAAGATAATTAAAATCTGGGCGATCCGGACATATTTGGCATTTAATCTCCGATCACTGTAAGCTATTTGTTCTCTCATATAAGAAAGGATCAAAATCCTGTGTTAACCATAGGCGGATTGTTCCAACTAATATAGCGTCTAAAATACTAGCCTCAATAATTATCGCGCGCCTAACAAAGATTCGTGAACTGCAAACACGAGAAAATTAGGCTGGCTTCAGACCTGGTCGTGGCTGCATCGTCCACATATTCACTATTCGTCAGGTTATAGAACACAGGCATGCTTATCGACATCCGATAATGATAGTTTTTCTTAACCTAAAAACATCATTTGACTCTGTAGACCGAGAGGTTCTGTGGCAGTCTCTGTTATTGAAATATGTACCTCAGAAGTAAATAAACCTTATGGAGGCTCTTAACTCAAACACTACTAGTCTAGTGAGAGCTTATGGCGAACTGTCATCTCCTTTTACAACCTCAAGTGGTGTCCGGCTAGGCTGTCCACTATCTGCATTTTTGTTCGATTCCATCATAGACCTACTGCTGGAAATGACGCTTTCGTCGGATGGATTTTCGGGCACTGATCTCCTTCCAGGAGGTTCACTTATTGACTTAGAATACGCAGACGATATAGTCCTGTTTAGTGAAGACTCTGATAAAATGCAGAGTGTTTTGGTAGCACTGAGCAACGATGGCAAGATGTTTTGGATGCGTTACTCCCTTGCTAGGTGCGAATTGTTGCCTTAGGACTGGTATGCGTCAACACCTGAACTAAGGATAGGAAGTCTGACCAGCCCTAATGGGTTAGCGTTTGACAAAATCTCAGCACGGATTCAGAAAGCTCGTTTGGCTTTTACCAACTTACGTCACCTATGGCGAAGGCGAGATATCCGTCTGTCAATTAAGGAACGAGTATACTACGCGGCAGTTCGTTCTGTTCTACTTTACGGCTGTGAAACGTGGCCGTTAAGGGTAGAAGATACTCGTAAGTTACTAGTATTTAATCACAGATGTCTTAGAAATATTGCTCGCATCTGCCGGGATCACCGGGTAAGTAATATTGAGGTTAGACGCAGGGTATTAGGGAATGATGGTAAAGCAGTTGATGGGGTTGTGAATCTTCATCGACTGAGATGGTTACATATGCCTGAACACCGACCACTACGATGCGCAATGCTGACTAGTGTTGGAAACGGATGGAAGGAAGTTGGGGGCGACCTGACCAGAACGTGACATCAATCCATGAAGTTACTAACTTGTGGTGTGAGCCATGTTAATAGAAGGGGACTAGTTGGTTGGGGTCCGCGTGACATGGCTGAGAGTCGACCACAATGGCTTAGGTGTTTGTTGTGACTTCAAGCCCGGCTAATCATCACGTGACTTATTCGCCAATCTTTGCACTGTGCCAAACCAATGACGCTCGAACAGTATCAGCAGCCTAGCATCCTTATTGGTCCTTTGTTCTCCTAGCCCTGCTATTTGAGTTCAGAACACCAATACCAACTTCCACTATGTAAATCATTTATTTCAAACATACCTGGTTTATATACAGGCCAAACAGACCACATCGCACCATAAAATAGGGAATAACATTTTTACAAAAGTGGTTGTGAACGTGGGACGTTAAAATGAAGCTTATAATTAGAGGAATATAAATATACACAATCTAGTTACTGAATAGTTATACATAAAGAAGTATATATATATATATATATATATATATATATATATATATATATATATATATATATATATATATATATATATATATATATATATATAATATTAGTCCTTTAATAGTTCTCAGAAGTTACCCATAATCTAATCTTTACTAGGATATAACAGAATGTACACTCTTTGTTCTCTCTCAAACTATGGGATTTAAATTACTTTATACTTTTATTTCTATGGACTAATTTTTTCTCCCTGTATCAAATCCTTTATGCACTCTTCTATATATATTACTACAATTGAAGTAACTGCTTCTATGAATTTGGTGTTCATGTTGTTGTGATAATGAAGTACGGTGACTTGGACGAATGCATATATGTGCCTGGTCCTACAATGTAACTGACTGGTTGTTTGTAGTATTTTAGTTTTGGTATTTCCCAACAATAATTAAGATATCACGATACAAATTAAGATGTCTTATAACTTCCTGTCTCTCTACAGACATATACTTACCATACGAATGTACAGTTTAATTAAATGATTTCATTTGAAAGGAAAAAATTTTCACTACATTCTCTTCATTTTATTCAATGACACAATGGGTTACTTTAATTGAATTCATATAAAATGATAATCATTATAGCTGTAAATTGATTTCAGTTGTAAATTTCACTTTTTTATCATTTCCTAGAGTCACGGTTAGCATAAATTTATATATTCTACTGATTGTTCACCAAAGGAAAACAAAATGGGAGAAATTCCGGTCGATTTTGTTTTTCAACTTTTGTATTTTTCCTTTTCAGTAGTTTTTCTTTCTCGCTCTCATTCTCTTATTTATCGTTTTTTTTGTCTGTATATGGGCTCTAGGATGTTTTTGTGTCTGTATTTATGTTTTTGTATGTGTCTGTATTCATAAACGCGCGTAACGCTTTCTGTAGTTTACAGCTTATTTATTATTAAATGTACTTCTGTGGGATGTAGATATGCCTTTGTTTCAATAATAATAATAGTAATAATAATAATAATAATAGTAATAATAATAATAATAATAATGATAATAATATACTAACCAATGACAACTATAACTGCCCATTTTTTCTGAATTACCATTTTATTATGCCTATCTGTTTTCTTCCTGTTTCTCCTTTGTATACGCTCTCTCATATCTGACTCACTGCTTGGTTAAATTTTTCACTTGTGATATCATATGGACGTATGTATATGTTTACCCTAACAACATGAATCGATTAGTTTTATTATATAGTGAGGTGATAATTGTTAATTATTTCTGAACATTTCTAGTTCAACTTTGAGCGGTTTGCGTTAAGTTTCATAATGTCAATGATAACTCAAAATGTTTGTTACAGTTGATTTGTAATTAAATGGGGGTTAGAGTTGTTATTATTATCACTACCTTTGACTATGTTATCTTATATTTTACCAATCAATAAACGAAATACCATGAAATAAACATACTTGAAAGTGTCTTGTTGGATAAAATCGTAGTGTTAGCAATTCTGTAGTCTCTGTTACAATTCTTGACGAAACCTATCATCGAATCTTAATGGTGTTGTGCTGTATAGTTTTATTCTATCATAATAACAAGTAGAATTTCATTATTTCAAATACTGTTATCAAATAACCGTTTAATATAACATTTTTGTGTAATTTGTTGATCTACTCTTTTCAAAATTCTTAATTAATTGATTAATTTCACTTTTCTTTCATTTTAACAGTTTTACCTGAATTCCAATCGGTTCCTGAATCAGTTGTTTATTATGCGAAAAATGATCCTATCAACAAGATTTTGAAGATCTGTTGTGATATTTGGCCGAAATGGCCTTTAGGAAGCTTAGCCTATTATTCAACGTATCATTTTCATCAATTATCTGATAATACTTCTAATCAACCATTCACAACAATAACAGATAAGATTGCTCATCAGAGAACTATTTATCATGTGCCTTCTAATTTTACATGTGATCTCCATTTATTCAATCATAATAATAACAATAAAACATTGAAATCAAAGAATTGTCTTTGTTTTTCAAGTGTTACTAGTGTTGAATTGTTTTCAGGTGAAAAGTTTTATTGTTTGGCCAGTACTGATTTTGGTTCAATTATAAGTAAACCGTTTCAAATAGCATTAAAATGTGAGTTAATTTCTTGTTTTTTAATATTCGATTAGAATTTTAATAAAGTGTGATACACAGATAGTTATTGTGTTATATAACTAGTTTTACTGATGTTAACTTATTCTACGCTTTGTATTTAATCAAGTAACCAAAAATGATATGTGAATAAATCTATCTTGATTGATACATAACTTCATGCTGTTAGTTCCCTTTATGAATTTAAATAAAGCAAGAACAAATATTGATTCAGAATAGTACATGACTACAGAATAAGATGGAACGTTATATTGTGTAAAACAACTAAACATTTTTATACACTTCAGAAATCTATATATTTATTATTCAGTAATTTATCCATTATCTATTATGTACTTCATGTTTAAACAAATGAGTAAACACTAGAATATATTATTATTTCGAATAATAATACTAGTAATGGTTTTCAGTAATTTATTTTGTTTAGTAATAATAAGTTTTCTTTGCGAAAAAATGTTTAGTTATGATTTCTTTGAAAATTTCTGTAATATTTGAGTCCTAGGATTAATATGTATTTTGTGAAATATTTGTCATCTCATCAAATTTTTGTGAGGGTTGTGATACTGCCCGGGTGCTCAAACCGAAGCAGGTGGTGATTTAATGCATACATTTTCAAAATGATTTGTTCTTGATATCAATTAATTTGATATTTTCTCTGTAGTATTATTTATAACCAGTGTTATTATTTGTTTAGTAATTTCAGTGCTATAGGTAGATAAATATTTAGTTTCAGAGGGGTTTTGTGGAGATTGTAGTAATTTCAATAGTTGTGATCATGAGTCAGTTGAAGCTAGACCACCATGGAAAACCTGGAAGCACTGGACGCCCGTTTCATTCTATAAATATTCAATGGACAAAAAATTTTTTTACATTAAATTTTCAATTAGTGAAAAAGTTAGACAAATATTCTGTATACATTTTTGGGCAGTTTATCACTTTCAATAATAATATCAGTAAAATGTGAAAGAATAAGTTTAAAATATCAAGAATAAGTTAGTAAGTATTATTGACTAAAGATGAACTGATCACTTTTCTTAATATTTTGATCAGATTTGTTCATATTGATTAATCATGAAAAATTTAACTATCTGTGATTAACACATTTGTTAACTGTAGATTCTTTTTCACTAAATCTTCTTCATCACTTATCATAAAGATTAGTTTTAACGTTTGTTGTTACACTTGCATATTTAACTGTCTGATTAATGAATTTTATCAGTATAGGGTTGTGGAGATTATTAAGTTTTTGATTGAGATCATGAACCGATTGATGTTAGACCACCATTGAAAACCTGGAAGCAGTGGACGGTCGTTTAGTCCTATTGTAGGACTCTTCAGCAGTGCGTATCCACGATCCCGCTCGCGGGGTTCGAACCCAGGGCCTTCAGTCTCGCGAGCGAACGCTTAATCTACTGGGTCACTGAGCCGGCATCCAACGGTGTTAATGAATTTTACATAATTCTAACCAATGAAGATAGTATATGGAAATAGTCAGAATTGGTCTCCATGATACTTGTACACTGATCCATCAATTTTCCATATTCTTTTCGAATCTTCAACATACAATTATTGTATATTTTTCACTCTTTAGCGTTATTCCCGTGGTGACTTTAATCTATACACATATTCACTAGGTTCTCCATTGTTTATGACTGATCAGGTTACTGACTTAGTGTCATTCTTATGTTGAGTTGTTTTGATGTTTAGTCTTCGAGTACCATTATTATTATTATTATTATTATTATTATTATTATTATTATTATTATTATTATTATTAACAGTTTATTTCTAGGTTTTCTACCTGCTGTTAATCCTTTCTAGATGTGTTAATATTTGTGAAATTAATGGCGACTTGACCTGACACAAATTTGTTTCACATTTTACGTTGTTGTTGTTGTTGTTGTTGATAAACTTAAATCAATATAGATGTCTATGAACACTGGAGACTAGAATATGCAAATTGATTTGCTAATTAATGACTAATTCATTTTTCTTCAAATTTTTAATATGGTTATATGCTTGTTTCAATTAATTCAATATTCATTTTACCTTCTCATCATTTTAATGATTGTAATTTATGGAATAGTTCACTTGATTGAATCAACATTGTAACATTGATCAAATAGTTCATAAAAAAATATTATTTTGGAGAAATAACTTTATGGTAAATTAAATTATGACTATTATTGTATATATATGTGTCTGTGTCTACAAGGTTTTGCCATGGAAAAATACTCGTAAAATTAGTATTTTGAATATGTTTATTTTAATGTCTTGTTTTTTGTTGTTGTTTTACATTTATTAAGAATTAATCTTAATAGTAGTATGATGTAGAAAAAAAAAGAATACTCTTCTACACTTGTATTTTCATTTACTTTTACACACATGCACTTTGTATTTGATACGTAATTGTGTTTCTGTTTTATTATTCTGACATAAAAAGATCACTATATGTATGATGTGTATTGGTTATATTTGGGTGTTTGTTAGTATGTAAGAACTAAGTGTTTGAATAATGGGTGTATGTGTTCGTTAGTGGATTGTACATGGAATGTCATGATTACTACTAATGAATTCGGATTCTATTAATGAAAAACTATGTAATCAGTGTAATTCACTTGATACTATAACAACTATTCACATACCATTGTTTTCTAATGTAGATAATGCAATAGTAGAGTAGCGTAAATTTTTGTTTATGTTTAGTTACAAAACGTTCTTTCATAGTGATAGAAATGAGCTTATAGTATACTCTGCACAGCTGGAAAGTGATGTATTCATTATATCTATTATTCCAACGGATATTAGTTTATGACTACAATAATTAATTAAGTTGGCTTGATGGTACATTTGAATATCAAGTCCCCATCTTGATTATCATCGACTAACTGTTCGATTAAGAAAATTAGAATGATGAATATTCCTTAACTTCATTACCACTCTTTTAAATACTTTCCCACGCTAGTTATTTTTTCTACTTTTTTTAAACTTTCGTTTTGTTTAATAAAATGTTTTTAAAAAAAATTAATATCCAATAGCTGAAAGTACATTTATTCGTCAGAAACTGGTTTATTATTTCGGGAATATTGCAATTCTTCCTTGTAATTTGGAAAAAAATCTATTCATCCGATCAAATCTTTTTTACTTTTAACAACACAATGATTGCCGTTTCTTCAGTTTGTAAGTTTGTATATATTTAAATACTGGCCTTGCATGTAATGATTATGTTATTATTTGGAATCTTATCATCAGGCGTCTTTTTTATAGTTCCAACCGTTTTTTTATAAAAACCATGTTTTGTGTTCTGTTGTATTATGATCCAGCTACTCTTATCCTTTAGTAATCTTCACTCGATAAGTCCCCAAATCAAAACACGATTAAACAAGAATGTAATTATATTCCAAGTAAAAAAAGTTCAATGGAAGAAGGACGTTAGAATATTTATAAGTTTACACAAGAAGTTTCTAGAGTTTTCTTCAAGTATCCTCTGTCTCTGATTGGTCTAGAAATAGCCAATCACCAGGCCCTAACACAATTCTGTACGGAACATTCTTTAATCCAATCTATATCTCATTAATAACATTCCAAATATTTTGAGTAATATATGAAATATTGTTTATGAGACCTTGTTTTTCAGTGTGCTCATTTGTAGGATTTCCATATCAAAGGATTAGATATGAGTACAATACATTGTGTTTCCTAATATTGTTCGTGTGTACATGCCGACATGATGTTACATGCTAAGAAATGATTTCAAATTATCCCATTTTACGAAAATGGCATATGAGAGAACATCATCTAAGGAAACGTAATTTAATTATACTCATATTTAATAACTGAGTGAATTTTTACTTTCTAGAAGGTTTGTTTTCCTCACTAGAAATATATCTTGGTTTTTACTCGAATATTTTGTGTAGATACGTATAATTTTATGATTGCCTTTTTCATCACAGACTGACATTATCGAAAAAGGCGTTGTAAACTCGAAGGTTATAATTAAAACAAAGTCATTTGAGTCTCACGTGATGTTCATGATATCACTAAATCAATTTGTCGAGATTCATTGGTCCACAATTTCAACTTAAACCAGTTTGTGGTATAGCCTGATTCTTGTTCAGCATAGCCGGGTAATTACCGATTTACTGCCGGTTTCGTATATTTTAGATGTCACAGCTTTCATTGGAACATATGGAAGTTCACTTCTGAGCTTAACCACTATTGCGCTAACGATTATATTTTCCTACGTGTTTATTATTCCATGTTTATCGATTCGAGACAAGAACACCTAAATTACAGGACCACTATCATTCGTTTCTGGAACACAATTTCGGTGATTTCCCATCACCTGAATCTTACTTGCTATCCGATATACTTAACCGTCTCCTGTCTTCATGCTAGTTGATCGGCATTGTTATCGATATTTAGATGATTGTCAGGTCTTTCGTTACTCATTATGTGGCGAATTAACCATCTTTTGTGGGTGCTTCGTGTAAGATTTTCTACTGAACTAAATTATATAAAACCGATGTGGTAAGTTTTCTTATTTTTAACTTAAGATTTTGTAAAATGAAGCTCTTTTGGAGACCCAAAACTTTTTCTGGTCACTGATAATCATCTGTAAGTAGTATCATATTCTTTGAAAGAGCCCATACATTGTCGTTTAAAAATGTTATGTAATACATTATTCAATTATTCTCCTTTGTAACGAAACACCCTTGCAGCATGATTACGTTCAATTTAGGTTAGTTATTGTGTAGCATTTATTAATCTAATATAGATCAGTATCTTATAGTGTTACTTTTCATATAAGATCTATCACATGTATTTTCTATCCCTAACGTTGTTTATTTAACACCAAATGTAAAATAGGCTTGATTTTCAAACTTTTTTTATTCATTTGTTTTGTTTTCATTTTGTTTTTATTCTCTGCGTTATTCCAAAATAGATAAATACAAGTTGGTGCAGCCGACTGTGACTAGTCG